AGCAGTTGAGTGAGCCATAGCTCAGTGCCGTAGTAGTTGCATGCTGCTCCTGGGCACGCCCATCCCTGAAGAAAGCACAGCAGGGCAGCACTAGCTCATGAGGTCATAGCTGTAAGGAGCATGAGCTATGTGTGCAAAATGGGATGCTACGAGATGCTGATGATCTGGTGGCCTGAGTTCCTGGATAACTCCTCCCGAAGGGTCCCATCATAGGTAGAGAAGAAGATTCTAAGAAATTCAGTTCTAAACATGGCAAAGGGATGTTTCTATGAACTGTCTAACCGAAGTTGACCAGAAAGCACTTGATAATGAGGAGCTCCTAAATGATGAGAGCCAATGAGTTTAAAAGAGAAATCAAGGAAAACTTTGTATGGGGGGGGGTTGTTTTTAAATAATTGAAGTTCCTAAAAGAAGGGTCAGAGAAAGATTGATCAAAATAGGACATAGCCAAAAGAATGAACTACTACCTGAGCAGACATGGGAAGTGCTTGAACAGAGATAGTGCTGGACTTCACTATAAAACACCTGAGATATTAGGTGGGAAGAAAAAACAAACATTGGGTTTTAATGAGGAGGCACTAACCTGTGGATGAGTGATTTCTCGTTAGTGGCTAAACACAAATGGAGTGACTGGACAGCTAGGAAAAGAAACAGGTTTAAATCATAAACCAGTCTTTTATGAGGCTGAAGGTTGGGGGAGGAGGAGATGGCGCAGAACACAGGAAAGATCTACTTCACAGAGGAATGACCCTGACTGAAGGCAAATGAGAAGTTAGGAGAAAGAGAGCAGTCGACAGTGACCTTAACCCATCCACTGAAATGTCCAGGACACCCACTGCATCTCTTGGTTGCTCTATTTCTCCCACCTCTCATTTTCTTCAACTCTCTCCTAAGAACTCCTCCTGGCCCTTTCTTTCTAGGGGTGACTTTATAGGCACAGTTACTAAGTTGAACTTGTTAGCATCCATTCTTTTTTTAATGTGTATTATTGTCTGGTTTGAATTTATTTCCCTTTAAAAGTTGCACTGAAGTGCCTAAATTAAATGAACCTATGTGTAATTGTGATTTGTTATTCAATAGAAATGTACAAGGGGAACAGGACTGACCCGTGTTCCAGTTCTCCGTAATTCGCATATACCCCTGCATTTTTATTTTGATGATCTGACATAGCCACGTGCTATCAGTTATTTATGCCATGTAGCAAAATAGCAGGACTTTTAACTGCAGTACCCAGTGCTAACTTCCATTCCCAAAACGAGGGTTCAACGTCTGTGACTTGCTATTATCATTTTCTGTCTTATTGTCTTTGGTTTAGTCTGTTCCTTATCTTCTTAATGTCAGTGTGACTATCTATAGTGCACCACATGTACTTAAATGTTTTCCTGGCCAAAAGGATTTAGAACTAAACAAGTGAATACAGCAAAATACAGAGCCTTCTATAGAGTGTGATATGTGAGGTGTAGTGGATTTCACAGCATCTTTTTAGCAATTGAGTTAAAATAATCACCATTATTAGCCGGGCAGTGGTGGTGCATGCCTTTAATCCCAGCACTTGGGAGGCAGAGGCAGATGGGTTTCTGAGTTCGAGGCTAGCCTGGTCTACAGAGTGAGTTCCAGGACAGCCAGGGCTACACAGAGAAACCCTGTCTCGAAAAACCAAATAATAATAATAATAATAATCACCATTATTTGAAGCCAGTAGATGCTTTAGAAATGTACAGTGCATCTCTTTCATCAGAGGCTTAGTGATACAGAACTAGTTCATGGCAATCTGGATATTTAAGCCTAATACCAGAATAGTTCCATTCCATAAAATCATCGTTCTCCAGTACAGAGTTACAGCAGAATAATTTGGAGATTTATATGCCTAGTGCTCACCCCGAAGAACCTGATTCTGCTAGCCTGACATGTATATTTTGAACTGTGGTGTCGTGAGTCATGGTCCCTCTGTACAGACAAGGCCAACTTCAAATGCATAATCCTCCTGCCTCGATATCTTAGTGCCAAGATTACAGGTGTACTCAACCCACCTGGCTCCATATATTCACTTTTTAAGTTACTTAGAAAATTCTGGTGTATACCTTTGAATCATCATATATCTGGTTATTGTATATCAAAATCTGTTTCTAAATAGTTAAATATTTGAATAACTAAATCAAAAGCCTAGATCATGAGAGATAAACAATGACTCTGAAGTGTATTATGACTAAGAAAGCCACTGGATGGTTTGAGCCAAAGCTTGACATGATCTCACTCAAATTTTAAAATAATCACGACTATGTGAAACACAAATGAGATGGAGGATGCTTCTTGTAGGGAGACTGGCCAAGAGACCATACATTAGTTTATTCAGGCAAAGGAGTAACCAGACACATCTACCTAAACAATAACAGCTGCAGAAGTGACGAATGAAAGTTTGGTTATGTTTTTAAAGATCAAAGGAACAGAATTTGTGGACAGATCAGATGTGAAATAGGGAAGGAGTCAAACTTCACTTCTAAGGTTATTAGAAAGTTATCAAGGACATCTCAACCAAAGGATTGCCTTTGTTAAGACAAGAAAACTGGGAGGAATGCTAGGCAGTGGTGGCGCACACCTTTAATCCCAGCACTTGGGAGGCAGAGGCAGGCAGATTTCTGAGCTCGAGGCCAGCCTGGTCTACAGAGTGAGTTCCAGGACAGCCAGGACTACACAGAGAAACCCTGTCTTGAAAAACCAAAAAGAAAGAAAGAAAGAAAGAAAGAAAGAAAGAAAGAAAGAAAGAAAGAAAGAAGGAAGGAAGGAAGGAAGGAAGGAAGGAAGGAAGGAAGGAAGGAAGGAAGGAAGGAAGGAAGGAAGGAAGGAAAGAGAGGAGGGATGGAGGGAGGGAGGGAGGAGAGGAGGGAGGGAGGAAGGAAGGAAGGAAGGAAGGAGAGAGAGAGAGAAAGAGAGAGAGAGAAGGAAAGAGGGAAGGAAAAATGGAGGGAGGGAGGGAGGGAGAGAGGAAGGACGAAAGGAAGAAAGGAAAAAAACTGGGAGGAGAATGGGTTTGGGAAGAAGACAAGGATATCAGTTTTGATAGATTAACTCTGAAGTGCCATTAAACATTGCTAAAGATGGCCCAGTTAATATAGTAGTCTAAAATTCCCAGGATTCATATAAATGTTGGATTCATCAACATACAGGTGACATTGAAATCACAAGAACAGATGGAATTACAAAAGAGCAGGGACTGATAGACATGAAACTATAGTTTCAGAGTAGGGGGACCTAAGAGACTCTGAAACAGACTGCTCGGTGGGGGGGCCCCACAGAGTGGGGTGTCACCAAAGCTAAGAAGGGTTGAAAGCACAGGGTGAGTAAATGGTGAATAGAATGAAAGCTCACTTGGCCCTGGAATTAGCAATGTGGAGATAATTGGTGATCTTGATCAGAAGCAGTTTGATAGAGAGATCATGCAAAGCTGAATAGAAAGGAGAACACTTTCTGATGTAGGCAGAACACTTAGGCACATAAAATAAAAATAAATCAATATTTGAAAGAGAGAATGTGAGGGCCAGTAATATTGCTCAGCATGGAAAAGTACTTGCTGCTAACTAAGCTTGACCTGAGTTTGATCTCTGGAACCCACTCTGTAGAGGGAGTGAACTTGCACAAGCTGTTCTCTGCCCTCCACATGTGCGTCATGGTATCTGTCTCTCAAATAATAATAATATATGCATATGTATTAAAAAATGTTATATCTTCTATCATAAGCTGCACCCATGAAATCTCAACAATATTGTTACCTAAGCAAGACCTGCATTATACTACCAGTTGACGTGCCAGTGTGGAGGGAGGGAATTTTACAAGGTCCCACCTCTGGATGAAGAGCTACAAGTGATCAGTGGCTGCTAAGGAAGGGAGACTCCCCGGTAGGATAGCCCCCAAGTGGTCAGCGCTAGTCAAAGCTACATACAGGAACAATAGTTGGGACAGACATAGTAGCAACTGGAGAGGAAGAGAAGGAAGGATAGAAATGTAAGTATGTTACTCATGGATGAACTCTCAGAAGATTACATTGAAAAGAGTAAGGAAACAGAGCTGGAAATAGAGAACTTTCAGGGAGCCTCCTCTATGAAAATGAACAGAAACAACCCAGAGGCTGAGGAAGACAAAGCGCATTTGTATGTTGTTGAAAATTATCTAGCAGAGGAGGCACAGTGCTTGAGAGTGGGAGGAACTGGTATAACTGCGTCTTTGCATGAGGAAATGGGATGGGTTTACTGTGCAGAGCACTCAGACTTAGCCTTAGGAGCACAGACAGGAGGAAAGTGACCCTAGGGGCGTATGTTGAAGGAGGTAGAAACAGCGGGTAGAGGAAGTTCTTCCTATCACTGTCACTGTCGCTGTTACTATCAACACTGTCACTATCCTCACTGTCACCGTCACCATCATCCCTGTCACTGTCACACTATCCACTATCGCTCTCACTATCAACACTGTCATTATCATCACTGTCACTATCACTATCAGCACTATCATTGTCACTGTCACTGTTATCACTACCACTGTCATTGTCACTATCACTATCATTATTTTGTCCTAGGAAACAAAGTTAACTTCTATTGAGTCTAGAGAAGAAATACTGGAAATTTCAAAAAGAAGAAAAGCTATGAAATTATTATCAGAGGAAGGAAAGTGGGCCGCAGGGTGGCCAGAAAGTTGTCTCCAGGGCACACTTGAATTTGAAATCCAGTTCAGTCTACTAGGATGTAGTTTTCTGTGCTTAGTAGGGAAGGAGCCAAAGCTTCAGAAGTAGGAGGAGGTAAAGATATTCACATCAAGCATGGGTCACATAACACAGGGAGAAAGACTAGACTAGCGCTGGAACAGTAAAGAGTGTAAGCAGGAAAGCTCGGCGGTGGCCATCAGAGTCAGAGAGCAGGATGTGCTAGGAGGGGTTCTTGCTTCACTGGATTAAGGTGGGTGCTCACCAGTTTGTCTGGTGGCTTTAATAACGATTTTAATTAATCTGTTAGGTTCATGACTACAAAGAAGGGACCCCTGAAGAGAAGACCTACTATATAGAACTGTGGGATGTTGGAGGCTCCGTGGGCAGTGCCAGCAGCGTGAAAAGCACAAGAGCGGTGTTCTACAACTCTGTAAATGGTAAGTGTTCTTTATTTCTCCCGTGTTTTAAGTACTGATCTCCTGTGGTCTAAAAGCATCGATCACCTGATATGAAGTGCCATGAGATACTGGACTCATCTTACTGTGAGAACACTGATGAACATACTACTCTTGCCTTAAGTCTGTATTCCACAGTCTAACTTGTTATCCTCTGGTGCCTGGCAGAGCATTGTTGCTTTGTTTCAGGGTTACTTTTCATTTATATGTGTGTAATATATATACCCATTTTAGAAGCTCAGCTGGAGTAGGCTTCCATATATTTTTCAAAGGTCTTTAGTGATATTTCTCCCTCTCCATACACCTTCCTCAACCCTGCTCTTCTACCTCAATCCAGATTTAACCCTTCCTGTTCCATTACTTCCTTTAACCCTCAAACCAGTTCATTTTACTTCATCTCCCTTTACACCCCCTCTTCATGACGCCTCTGTAGTTCCCTGGCCTCTGTAGGCATCCCACATGAAATATACCTGAAAATTCCCCTTTTCCCCCTCCCACCCTGATGACCCAGGCTACTGATCTCAGCAGAAAGCCTATGAAGTGTCTGTGGCCCCTTAGAATACATTCTCACCAGCTGTCTGTCTTTCATCTGGCACTCACTTGACTTTCCTAGCTCATAATCTGTAAAACGAAAAATCTCAGCCTAAGAGAAAAAAGGATTTTTAAAAAAAAAAAAAATGCCCAAACACCCTTAGGAGCTCAAAAGCCTTCCCTAGAGAACCTCAAAAGATAAAATTTTAAATTTTCTGTTGTCCATCTAATAGCCAGCCTGGGTGGCAGCATGCCATTCTTTGGCCCAGTGAGATTTTATTCTGCTTTCCTCTAATCTTGAACTATCAGAACACTTGACTGCAAAAGTATGCTCACCTAAGCAAGACCTGCACAACAGCAGCATCAGCTGACATTCTCGTGTGGATGGGATGTGTCTCACAAGGCCCTCCCCCAGGTGATTGAAGGCCACAAAAGAGATCCAGTCTCCTCTAGGGACCTAGGTTGTTCAACCTCAAGGGGTGAGCCCTGAACACGGAAACCTAGAGGCAGCACTAAGTACACTCTGCAAGCTGTATTTATAAATGCATATATGTAACAATAACTAAAGAAAGGCCATGAAGTTGAGAGGGAATGGAGGACCCAGGAGAAGTTGGAAGGGATAGCAGAAGGGGTGGAAATTATGTAAATGTACTCATTATGAAATTTTAAAAAGTGATTTTAATCTTAAAAAAGAGTTTGGGCCTGGACATAGTAGTACACGCCTTTAATCCCACACTCAAGAAGCAGAGGCAGGCAGACATCTGTGAGTTTAAGGCCAGCCTGGTCTTCAAAGTGACAGCCAGGACTCTACTACATACAGAAACTCTACCTCGAAAAATCAAAAACAAAAATTAAAAAGAGTTTGAAATTATGGTCCTTGTATCTCAAGATGTTGCTCTAGATTCCAACAAGCATTGAAGTTGTTCTTTTATCTCGATTTTATTATAATAATTACCTACTTTGCTTATTTGTACATGATGCTAGTTGATTTATTTACTTGTATTTCTGAGCCATGTTATATTTTGTTATTCTTCAACCTCAAAAAAAAAATCCACCTTTCCTACTATTCATACTTCTTTTTTAAAAATTTATTTCTATTTTTTATTTGTATATGGTTTTTTATTATTTTATGTTTTTTGGTGTTTTGCTTGTATGTATATCTATGCACCATGTTTGTGCTTGGTGTCTGCAGAGGCCAGAAGTGAGCTTCTGGTCTCCCGAAACTGAAGTTACAGGCAGTTGTGAGCTGCCATGTGGGTGCTGGGAATCGAACCTGGGTCCTCTGGAAGAGCGGGCAGTGCTCCTAACTGCTGAGCCGTCTCCCCAGCTGTATCCACACTTGTCTCCCTCCCCTTACTCTTTTCCAGAAGCATCTTTCTTTTGCTAATTGACATGGGATTGGGCATCTTCACAGTAGTGTGGCTGTAGACCCTTTTCCCTAAATCAGTTCATTTTTCCTCCCTTATTGTCCTCTGTCCCTCCCCGCTCTGCCCCCTGCCCTTTATTTGTTCTTTATTTGTCTTGCTGTGTTGCCTTGGCTGGCCCAGAAAGTTCTCCTGCCTCAGCTTCCCTAGTGTAGACTTATAAAGCATGTGTCACTGCAGTGAGCTCACCAAATCTCTTAAAGTAGCAAGCTTACATAGCAGTGAACTCAAAGAGCAACAAAGTTAAACTCTTGAGTTGGTGACATTCAGAAGACCTACAGGACAATGTTTTTCTATTAAAGAACAACCACCGAGAGGCTGAGAGATGGCTCGGCAGTTAAGAGCACTAGCTGGTCTGGGAGAGAACCCAGCTCTAATTCCCAGCACTCACATGGTAGCTCACTACTGTCTGTAATCTCAGCCCCAGGAGATCCAATGCCTTCTCTACCTTCACAGGCACCTGCATGCATGTGTGCAGAGACACACATGCACACACTTAAAAATAAAAGCGTAAGAACAGAAGAATAGCAATCTGAACATGTGGCACATGTCTGGATCTCAGGTCTGAGAGGAGAAGGCACAAGTATGAATTCTAGGCCAGGCCGCCCTACACAGTAACAAAGCCAGTTTGCTCTTGTAGTGAGACCCTGTTTTTGTTTGTTTTTTAGAGGAAAAATAGAGATATAAAACTTAAAGTGGTGCCATTTTAATACATTTTACCAGTGCAGAAACAATACAACTTTTGAGTAATATAATCTGTTAATAAATAATGTTCTTCATTGGTGAAGTGCTTCTGTAAGCAGTTCCAAACACGAAGTAGGCACTCAGGGGCTATGGGATGAAGAGTAAAAAGACATTCTGAATATTTTATGACATTCTGATAGCCTTTGGAAGGGGAAAAAACTTTAAAAGTATATTAGCGGTAAAGCTGTCTAGTTAGTTATTTGTAAGCATTTATAAAGGACAGCTTGAAATACCTGTCTGGTTGTGTTAGTCATACTTGAATACAGATCACCAAGCTCCTAAGATCTGTACTAAGCGTGCCCTTGTTGCCTGTAAAGAGGTGCTGATGAGTACTGACATCACATTGCCTGATTCTTTTAGGCATCATTTTAGTACACGACTTAACAAATAAGAAGTCATCCCAAAACTTATATCGCTGGTCATTGGAAGTTCTCAATAGGGATGCAGTTCCAACCGGAGTCCTGGTGACAAATGGGTAAGCCTGGAATTACTTTACAATTGGTTTTAAGTGTGACTGCAATCCTGAGAATGCATTTTACAAAATAATCCTTTGAAGATGTGTGATTAGTTCTGTTTTAGCCTCTACGTGGTCTTTCCATTATCTGAATGGCACCTTTCCTGGCAGTGGTTTATTTTGATGAAATCGGATTACTTAGCTTTCCTACTCTGCATTTTGCCGTTGGTATCATATCTAAGAACTGTTTGCTTAATCTCATACAGGTTTTCTCCTGTGCCTCCTTCTATAAGGTTTGTAATACAGGGTTTATATTAGATTTATGATCTGCTTTAATTTTATATAAATATGTAATTGGGGTTTAATTTTAAATATGAATGTTCAGCTGTGCCCCTGCATCATTGGTAAAGAGAGTAGCCTATCTCCATTGAGTCGCTTTCATTTCTTTTGACAAAGTCAGTTGACCATACTAACAATCCAGGACGACTTCTGTATTCTGTTCTACTGCCTTTGACACCGTGAGCCAACATATACATTTTCCTCCTTAGAGTTTCTGTCAGGTACTTGGTCACAGCTACCCAAAAGTAATAAAGGTTTGTGTGTGTGTGTGTGTGTGTGTGTGTGTGTGTGTGTGTGTTGTTGTTGTTGTTGTTGTTGTTGACATCAGATTTCTTCTCCACATTGCTATTGTGGTAGAGCCTGACTGATTCTCAGATACTGAACCCTTTCATTCCATGGTCATGGTGAATTCATTCTTTCATTTCAGATGTTGCTGGTTTTATTTAATGGTTTCTTACAGCTTTCTTGATCTGTGTTCATGTGGAATATTGGTTACACTTTCTGCTCTATAATGTATTTGGCCCGTTTCATTTGAGGATAATGTTGGCCTCAGTGCCCCTCCCTTTCCTGGGAAGATACTGTATATATTTGATGTTATTTCTTCTTTGGATGATTTACCAGTGAGACTTTGGGGCTTGAATTTTTCATTTTGAAAGGTTTTCAATGTCAGATTCAATTTTTTTTAATAGATAGTGGATGGTACATGTATTTTGTTTTGTCTCAAGTGAATTTGGCAAATTAGAGCTATAGAGGATTCATGCATTTCCTTTAAGTTACTGAGCATCTGTGAACAGGGTTGTTTGTAATATTATTCATTATCTTTCTGGAGTCTGTAATGACATGCGCATGTTCAGCTCTGATCTTGCTAACTTGTGTTTTCTTTTTGCTTCCCTTTTAGACATGCTACTAGTTTGTTGATGTTCTAATCTTTTCAAAGATATTTTAGTTTCATTGATTTTTTTTTACTACTCAAAAAACTTACTTTTAAATTACAAGAAAGAGAAATTATACCAGAAAATATTCACATCTGTGTTAAGGAATTCAAGATGGTGTCATTGTTACGGATACAGAAGCTGCTCTTGGACTCTGCAGCTTCATTTTGGTCCTCGAGCTGCTCCTGCACACGCGTTAAACAATGGTGCATTGGTGCTGCCTTCATTGCTGCGTTATTTTAACAGCAAATGATTTGGAAGCAACTCTAAGTTCAAAAGAAAACCTGTTAAATAAATAATGGTCTAGTTACATTCTGGAACACTCTACTTAGCTATTTAAGAAAGCATCAGGAATGTTTCTATGTAGGAAAATAGAGACCTACAGAGGGTGCAAAACGAGGTGCAGAGGATATACATCAGTTCCCTTGTAATGTGCATACAGCATCCATGAAAAGAGATATAGCTGTAGCTCAGTAGAGTGTTTCCCTAGCATGCATGAGGAGCTAGGTTCATCCGTGCATGAGGACCCAGGTTCATCCCCAGCACCACTTTAAAGAGTGATAAAACAACAAACCTTGAAAGCCCTATTGTATCTTTTCTTCTTGAATTTTAAACCTTCCTTCTTTTAGTTATAGTTCTAAAAAGATTCATAACTGCTGTTTTCATCTCTCAAAGAGTTACTGTGCATATAAAATTATGTTTTTAGGGAAGTACTAGCCTTATCTGTCCATAATAAAGTTCTCCATCAGTTTTTCACAGAATGATTTTAAATGATATCACAGTCTAATTTCAGTTGGATGAATGATTTTAATGAAAGAAGTAATAAGGAACATCAAAGCCAATGTGGTATAATTGTCTTTTAAAATTAATATTTAAGTGGCGAGTCATTCTATATATTGGTGTCTCAATGAATACAGTTCTTGAAAACATGAAAAGCTAAAGAGAAAAATGAGAGAGCAAGGCATATATATATACTTACATGGTAATCTACAAGAGATTATATAAGATCTTAAATAGCAAAGAGTATGTATATTAAAGATGGTATTTGATAGAAAACACAAAACTTTTCATGAAAGAATTTGTGAATATAAGAAAAAGAAATAGTCCTGAGGGAAGGTACCCTGAAAACCTCATTCTCTATAATTCAGATTTCAATCCAAACCATGTCTCCTAAGTCAGGAGTGTATAGGTAAACAGGTGCTAGTTCAGAGGCCTTGAACTTGAGCTATTATTAGCTTCCATACAAATAAAACAGATGGTGATATTTATAGGAAAGATATGTAAATTCAAAACAACTCTGTTCTGAGACAGGACTACAGCTGAGGCTCTGCAAGATCAGTGTGAAAGGTGGGGACACGCAGTAAGTGGCCCTCTCCTCCCAGCTCAGTCAGTGTGCTCCAACAGGAAGGAAAGTGCTAAGACAGAAAAGGAGCTGCCCTCCAGTGGGTTTTATTGATTGGATTATGCAGTATCGATTGTTCAAAAACAGATTTTGCTGACTGCTGTAAATTGAGCTTCTAACATGTCCGAAATCCAGATCTACTTTGCTAATAATAGGCAAATAGAATTTCAGTTAATTAACAACAGTAAACCGTATGTTCCTTTCAGTAACTATCATTTGTATTGCTACTCAATCCTTTGGGTAAAAATGGGAAGAAAATGAATTATAATAGACCCCCTTCTAATGCTAAGAGATTCTGATGGCCAATCCTCTGTGTCTTATGACTGTCATGAAGGATAATTATTTGTTACTAATTGTCTCACCTTTTATTATCATGGTCAACATTTCAGCTGTTTTCCTCCATTTCCGTCCAAGCTGTGTCTCACTCAGGCTCAGCTTTCTTGGCTCTTTTCATTCTGAATTACTCATAGCCAGGAAGCCATATGCAGGTTAGAGAATTTGTGCATGAAGCACCTGTATCACATGGTAGGGCGCCGGGATTTTCCACCCACTGAGCTTTGAATCCACTTCCTTCTTTCACACTGAAAATTTTCAAAGCTGTTACCTGCTGAAGACAATGCAGTGTGGACACTTGAGTCACATGATCATGATGTATTTGGTAGGCCCTCAGTCATCGAGTTATCTGTTATAAAGACACACAGGAACAAACTTTGAATAATAAGATGACTAGTTGGAATTCAGTAGATGATGGATCATGAATACGTACATTGAAGATATCAGGTGAAAAAAGAGTTGTAGGTGATGATGAGCAGCAGTCAGTTAATTATCACTAAAATTGGTAAGCATCTTCTTGCATTTCAAGAATACACATCTATATTGGAAAGGTAAATTCTATTCTCCTCTTCATGGTTATTTATCACAGGGATTATGACCGAGAACAGTTTGCTGATAACCAAATCCCACTGTTGGTAATAGGGACTAAACTGGACCAGATTCATGAAACCAAGCGCCATGAAGTTTTAATCAGGACAGCTTTCTTGGCTGAGGACTTCAATGCTGAAGAGATTAATTTGGTATGTATTTTCACTAATGTGTGTCTAGGTTTTATCCTAGGCAAAGAAGCTTTAAACTCAAATCAGAAGCTTACCAGTACAAAATAGATCAGAATCGATGTGTCTAGACTGTCATATGAGGGTCTCTTTCACTTTGAACTTGAACACTGAGCTGTTGGAATCCTCAAACTATAATCTGCAAATAGTACAAATTATAGACTCTTTCTTGAAAAAACTTAAAAAGCATACCAAATTCAAAATAGTCATATCAATTAAGGTAATACTATATATACATTGATTATTGTTGGTTTTGGAAGGAAAAAAAAAAAACGCTCTTAATCCCAATACTCAGGAGGCAGAGACAGATGGATCTCTGAGTCTGAGGCCCTCCTGGTCTACAGAGTGAGTTTTAGAGGACAGAGAAACCCTGTCTCAGAAAACCAAAAAAAATAAGTAAAATGGAAGAAAGAACCTCTTCACTGCTTACAACAACTGCTTATCTTGAAGGGCACACAAACAGATGTATGAGGAAATTGCAAACTGTAAACTAGGAATGTATCATAAGGACTAATTTATATAAAGTCTTACATATAGAAACTCTGTGATAGCTAGTTTAATTAGAACAGAGGGCTAATGAGCTAGGAAACAACTCATATAAACCAGTTGCATTACCCAGAACAAGACCTCACTCACAGCCTCAGTGTGGAGACGCATTATCGTTGTTCCTAAGCAGAATTGCCACGCCCTCAGCACCTGTTGTTCTGGGTATACAGTGCTGACTGACAGGACCAGCGACCAGTACTTTGAGGGCAGCTATTGTAGCCAGATGCTGTTGTAAGGTTTACAGGTATCACGTCACACACACCATCTTCTCATCAACCTTTTAGCGTAAGCACTTTTATCTCCATTTTAAAGATAAAGCCAAATAAGGCGCTCTGACTGTTCGGCCTAGAGTCTACAAGTTACGTCTCTTTCCCACTTGATTATCCTTCACCTAAGATTTAAAATGGTGCCACTTGGAAATCATTTACATATTACCAACAGCACCTATGAACGTCTAAAGTGACTGTTCTTTGTGCTTATAATGCTGGCAGGAGCACTCTGTTAATTCTTTGTTTTGTAATGTGTTGCTGGGCCTTATACATGAGAAACATACTTTACCACCACGCTGCAGCCTCCGCTAGGACTTTTATCCTATAGATCACTCAGGTGAGTCTGATACCTTTTGCTCCACGAATTAACATCTGTAAACACTGACTCTGCATGTATCTGACTCAGCCTCTGCCTGCCTTCCATGTTTTGTTATAGTTTATTGTACAGTGGAATGTTTGCATCTGCCACCACAGTGTAAATACCCTGGTAGTCAGTGTTTGACCATAGAATTCAAGAGGATCCCTACCATATAGATTATATAAGTATGCTATCTCTGTAGAATTAGTGCTGCTGTTATTTTATTTGCCCGTTATTTTCAAAGAGTAATTTGCCATTAAATATGCATAATTAGTTCCAATAGTAACTTGAGTATGTTTCTGAATGTATCTTTGTCTAGTGCCTACTGATGTCTGTGACAACCAGCTAGACACATTATTCCTCCTTTTCTTACAGAGGCTAGGCCGACTTCAGCTGTTGGCAAAACCAAAAGATAAGCAATAGGACTGAAGCACTTACAGTCTCCCGAGGGTTTACATATGATATGTCAGTCATATCCTTCCAGAACACAACAGGAACAGTAATAGAAGTGGCTAATGAGGATACAAGGAATTAAAGTACAGGAAGGCAGCTGAATATGGGACTTGAACATAGAGCAACAGGTAAACATAGAGCCTCAGACTGAGACTAATACAGTGGTAATATTAGTGCTAGCTCACTGTTTCTTTTATGAAATTATTTATGCCTACAGAGAAGCCTGAATCCAACATGCATGTATCAAGAGTGAAGTCAGAATTTCTCTCTGCCTTTGTAAATGCAAACTATTTGAATAAAATTAAGCACTAGGGATTATATATATATAATATATATATATATATATATATATATATATATATATATATAGTATATTTGCTCATGTGTGTTTATTTAGTTTCTGGTCATTTTCCACATTCACACAAGCTATTTAGAGCTACTGATTTTCAGGCTTTCCCTTAGCCATGATCAATGGCAGGTGGCTTTTTCAGCTCCAAAATTTTTATCCTAAAAAGGATGGAGTTTCAGATTTCCTACTCAACTTGGACTGTGGAGCCCATAGTTAATTTTTGGGGGGAAATGGCAACTTGTTTGTTTGCCATTTGATTTAGGATTGTTTTTTTTTTATTTAGTAATTTTAACTCTTACTTAGAGTTGTCATTTAATGTTCTCATGAAGTAATCAATACCCATTTCGCAAAACCATCTAAAGCAGGTCTAAGGTTGATTTTTTTTCTTGTCTGTCCCAACTGGTACAGAGATGCATTCAAACATGGTGCAAATTCCGCAGTGTGTGTACACAGTGACATACCCGGGTAGTTAATCTACATGTGGGGTCATCTGTATTGTATTAAATGTTTGTGCTTCAAATTCAGTCTGGTAGCATTTTCCTACAGTGAGAAAGAGAAGTGATGCCCCAGTGCCTGCTGCGTGACAGGCATGCAGTTCCTCTTTGCATTTCACAAAACTCTGAACAGCATCATCTCCGTTTCACAAATGAGTGAGCCCAACTGTAGAGCCATAATGACTTAAGCAGGGCACACAGTCTGGAAATGCTGGCACAGACATTTGAAGACAGAGATTACTGGCTTCCAAGATTCCTGATTTCCCTCGTAGTTTATGATCTTTCGAAACTATTGTAATTATAACCAGTTAGTCCCCTTTCTCTCCTCTCCACTTTCTTTGTGTGTGTGTGGTGGGGTAAGTAGAGAACTGTTATAGTTTCTGGCCATTATTTAAAGTGTGATCCTTTTTGCGGCACCATGAGGAGAACAATAATACCAACCAACCACAGCTCCCAGGGTCTAAACCACCAGCCTGGGAGCACTTAGAGGAGGGGATCCAGGGCTTCAACTGAATATGTAAGAGTGGAGGGCCCTGCTGGGCATAGGTGGAAGAAGAGAACCTTGACCTCATGAAGGCTGGATGCCCCAGGGGGTGGGAATTTTGAGGGTGGGGAGGTGGGAGTGGGGGCGAATAGATAGAGGTTACATCCACAGAGAAGAAGGAGGAGGGGTGAGGGGATTGGGGGTTCCGGGGTGGGTGGGGGATGGGGTAAGGGGACAAGACAGGAAATGTAAATAAAACATCCAATAAAAAAAAAATAAAAATAAAGTGTGATCCTTGAAACAAAACAAGAAATTGTTGGAACAAAACAAGAAATTGTTACTAAATGTATTGGAAGGAAACATGTGGGCCTGGCTGTTACAAAACCACATTATTAAATACAGCAAGAATAATTTCAGAAATTGCTTAAGGGGCACAGAGGGCCCACAGATGCATGCAAGACATGAAGGAACCTGAGTGATACCTGTACAATTCGGTCTCAGTGGCATTTGAGGTAAACATCAAAGCCGACTCTCTCTTGAGAGGGCCAGCACTTGTGACAAGCAAAGATGGCAGCACTGTCATCTACAGGTGTTGTGATGACTTAGTGTCCCAAATTGTGCAGCCTCCTCTGAGCTCCTTGCTCTCCTACGTAAAGAGTCTTACTAAATAATATATCTCTTGTTTATTATTATCAGAACCATTATGTCTTTGTGGTATATGAAGAAATGGAGAAATTCTTGATAACTGTTTGTTCTTTAGCTAAATCCTATTTTGACTAAATCTTATTTTCATGTTTCCAACTATTATACAGTCTGCACAGTTCTTAACTAGTTGAACACTTAGTCCCTGGTCTGCAATAAATGTATCCTGTGTGGCTTTGTAAACATATACAGGTCACCTGATCAGTCCCTTGGTTTTGCTACTAAATTGCTAGTACTTGTGCTTCCTTCAGGAATGATTTGACGATGGGTGTTGACTTAGTGTCCTCCGATAGTGCTCAGACGGCAGGGACTAAAGGGCTGTACTTTCTTTGTGCCTTCCAGTTCACGTATCGTAATCTGAATATTGCTTTGTGTTTTATGAGCATTCTGATGACTTAAGACAGAAAGGCACTGGAGTCTCACTTCTGGCTTTTCTGTGTGCACCTTTGTCTTCCAGGATTGCACAAATCCACGGTCCTCAGCTGCAGGCTCCTCCAATGCTGTCAAGCTCAGTAGATTTTTTGATAAGGTAATGGCTTCAATTAAGTTATTTTTAAACTTAACATATGATAGTTTAAACTCTTTGTAGAATGCTGTGTCCTTTTGTTCCTTTGCCCAAAACTTCACAGCCTGAATACATGTTTTGGTCTCTCTTATCTGTTGGAATAATTGCTCAAGGCCTGTTGACGTACTTACTCCATCACTAGCGCTTTCTAAGCAAAAAGTAAAGGCTATTTGATTCAGGTGGGGCTCTTAAAAAGATATCTGAGTCTTCCTCAAAACAATTTATAGTTAACCTGTTTTTTAGTGCTTTGTGTAATTATTCACTGTTCCATCTCCCCAAAGACACTGAACAGAGGTTAAACCTCTTATTCTCTCAGCTATTAATATTTTCCATGTAAATGTTGCTATTACTTTGTAAAGTTAAACAGTCTCCTGGAATCTGTTGTTTCCCTGTGAAAGCATTTGTACCCTTCTGTCACTGAACTAGAATGAGAAGGAGCCAAGCTGGAGCACTGTTCATCTTCATCTCCAGGTTTTGCAGCTACCTTACGTTGTACTGATATGCATAGCAATATAATAACATAGGACTTTCTTCTGCGTGAATTGCTGAAAAAGATTAACTTCTATATAAGAGCTATTCAATGCTGGAAATTTTGCTCAATGGTTAAGAGCAGTTGCTACACTTCCGAGGACCCAGATTCAGGTCCCAGAACCCACAATGAGCTGCTCACAGCCACCTGTGACTCTAGCACCAGAGATCCACTACCCTCTTCTGGCCTCTGTGGGGCACATGCAAGCAAGCAGGTATACACACAGAACATATACATATAAATAAAAATAAAATAAAGTTTTAAAATTACAGCTCTTCCTTACAGATTATTTTTGTCACTATCTGAATCTCTTGATATTTGACCCCGTTTTTAGTATGTTACCATGAGGTCCAGTAAGGGGGACTGTGTGTCCAATAGGGAAGTTTTATCTCACGTTTTAACTAGAGTGTGGCAAGGCGGGACCGATGTGCACAGGCACTGGTTCCCACAGTTCTCAGATGGCCAGCCCTCAAGCTAGGGCCTAGGAGATTGACAGTCTCTGTTCTCCCTCGCTGGACTGCACAGATATTTGCGTTTTCTTGGGAAGTGGGAAGTGGTGCAGGGAACCACATTTTCTCTCCTTATTGTTTTCCAGCCGGAAGTGTTGCCTCATCTGCTTGGTTTAGACCCACGTCCCCATCTAATACAAAATCCTGTCCCTAAGAACAACATCCTGTAGATCTGGGTTTCATCTGCAAAGGTCACATAGTGTACTTTTTCATGTTTTACGTATTTTTTAAGATAAAAACTCTTAAGTCATATCCTAAAGAAACAATGGATTTTAGACTAGCATACCCTAAGTTATCAGCAAAGCTAAATAAATAAATAAATAAATAAATAGTAATTTGATTGGTTTTAAGAAAAGAGTAATATATATAAAAAAGGACATCATAAGTTGGGGATGAACAATTCTCGGCAAAAGAGAAAGCTAACTTTGTTGTCTAAATCTCAGTAAAGAGTGCATCAGTAAGGAGATTGCCTGGTTTTATACAACATATACTGGATAGGAAAGCAAGACACATGGCAACACAGTCTGCCCCATTTTCTGGAGACAAAACCTTCCAGAATGCCAAGGCTGCTTCCGCTAGAGGGGGGCTAGGTCCTCCAGATTCTCTTAGCTGGTAACAATTCTGTGCCTGAATAATGTGTCCCTGTCCTGCTGAGACTGAGGAAAGGCCTAAGTCCTTTGGGGACCTCAGGGACTCAGTGTTTCAAGGTATATGCTAAACAGAAACCAGATTTTCTACTTCAGAGGCCAATTGCCCTGGGTCTCATATGGCTTCAAATACTGAGACCTTGTCTCCAAGAGAGAAAGAAGCAGAACAATTTGTCTCTTAGGCAGTTGTGAGGAAGCTTTCCCCACCTGAAAGGACCGGCTGTGCTCTGAGTCACTCCAGATGTGACTGTCTTAGTCCCTCTGTACCTCATCTGTAACTTCCTTGATTTCTCTCCCTTGCAGCAGCAGCTCTGCAGCCAGTGCAGCATCTCCAGGGCTAGAATGGAAATCAGTATTTCTTGTAATCTCATTCAGCATCTGAAAACACAGTTCTCAAGCCCATTGTGTTAGGACATATGTCTTGTGAGCTTCTTTACATGAGCTGTGAGGTTTTTTAAGATATATCCACTGCTTTAGCCTGCCCTCCCTGCAACAAATTCAGTGAGCTCTGAAACTACTGAGTAAGGATGCCAATGAAGCCTTGAAAATATTTCCTATGGTTGCATTAGTGAACCATATAATTAATTACTTTTTCCAGGTAAATATGCTATGCCCTAAAATCTTTGTTTGTTTTTTGCAGGTTATAGAAAAGAGATATTTTTTTAGAGAAGGTAATCAGGTTGGTATTTATCTTTTTTTTTTTTTATAAAGTGGCTTCTTAAGTTTTGCAAAACATGGTTTCCATTTTTTCTTTCAGAGGGGATTTAAAAAAAAAAAAATTAGGAAAAGCTTTCTGTAGGCACAGGCAACTCTCTTGAATACAAAAGGAGAAAGCCTAAGCAGAGGCAACATGAGAATCTGCAAGACGAAGCCAGGGATGAGGTGATGCTCTGACATAGTAAAGATCATTTCCTCAGGGTCTTCAGATGGTTTTGTCTAGAGTCTTCCATAAAAGACACTACATATAAAAATCCAGTTGATGATTCCAGAAGATCCGTCCTTTCTAGATGACACTGCCACTGATTTGCTGGCAAATGTTTTCTGTATTTGTAGAGTTTCTTTTTATTATTTATCATTCTATGATTTTCTGACTGGAAGCTCAGAGATCTGTGTCTTTAATGAACATCAGGCTGACCTGCTAGAATGTGAAGCAGGAGTTTAAACATTTGACTTTTTCTGCTACAGCGTAACAGGATTCTTTCTTGCCTACAGATTCCAGGCTTTTCTGATCGGAAGAGGTTTGGAGGAGGGGCACTGAAGAATTTCCACTGTGACTGAGTCACCCTCAGCCCTGGAAGAGCAAGGGAACAGCAGCAGTGTGCACAGCTTCTTCTTGCTGTGCCGGGTCATTAACTTCTCAGGCTTTGGTAAAAACATCTCAAAATGCTACCTCACCCTCTCATGGAAAATTGAAAGGAAGCAGCCACGTGGAAGGGCCTAGCTCTGCCTGTTCTCTGTCTCCCTCACCCCCCTGCCCCTGTTTATAGCTTATGTAAAAGCCTTGTGATGACATGAGGTCTTGTCAGACCTGTGCAGTAAAGGACTGGAGGCAACGGCTGCAGAGAAGGCTGACTCTTGCTTAGAACCAGAGGGTTTTACAGGCCTGCGATTTTCCCACACTCGCTGCTGAAGGCTTAATTAAGTAGTTCAGAAACATATCTGTGTTGTTTTACCTTCCTGAGGGGAAAGGTCATGTTAATCAGCCCTGAGTTATCCACCCCAAACTATCCCTGTCATTTTAAAAGAAGCCAAATGGTGTTATTTCATTTTCTCCGTCCTCATTACACACAGGGATATCTAAGAATAGCAACCCCATCTCCTCCGCTCTCTCTGGGAAAAGGCTTAGTGTCTGGGAGAGAGTGATGAACTAATAGCTGGAGTTAAATAGAAATACAAATTAATAATACATGGAGAACAGGGCAGAGAGGAAGGCTTTGTGTAAGTCCCCGGCTCTATGGTTGGCAGCTTTCAAAAGGCTCTTTCTGCTTTCTGTTTGGAAATTGAGTGAAATCTGAGACCCACACTAGGCCAGTAAAACGGATTTATTGCCTCTTTAGTGGGGTTCTTTTTTTCCCCTTTTCCCAGTTTGTTTGGTTAGTTGTTCTGTTTATTTGTAAGGAAATTCAATTCTTGAAATATCCTTTAATATGATGAACAGTAAACTAAGAATATTATCCTATATTAACAGTGTATTTATGAGAAAGTCAATTAAGTTCCAGAGTGATGCATTCACATACATTATGAGCCAGTGTTGGAAATTTTATAACCACACCACAGCTCTTTGGCGGTGGTATATATGTATATGTTTGCATAATTGTTCTTCATTGTCTTTTAGCCCATCTTTTTCGCAGGTTTAATCTTTCGGCCCAGTTCCTTAGTTTATAAAATTGGTTGCCAAAAAAGACTGTAATTGGCCATTGTGTTCAACACCTTGTTATTCAGATGCTTCTGTCTCTGCAGCAGCTTTTTGCTCCCTGGTTTTGTACCAAATTAAAAAAATAATAGGATGAATATGTGGTTTCATTTCTTTTAAAACCAGGTTGAATATGTGGTTTCATTTCTTTTAAAACCAGGTAAAACCTTTTTCTGTTCCATTTTAGTTAAACTTCAGAAGGACTCTGGAAGTCAGGGTATGCTGGAAGGGAATATTAGAAACTCAGAAAGGCAGTCTTGGGGATTTGAAAAGTAGTTCCCCTGAGCTGGACTGCTCTCGGTCTTTACCTCCTCGATGGCGAGACCTGGGCCCTGTGTCCTCGTGCTAGCGGATGTCTTTGTTCTCTGATGTAGTGTTATGCAAATCATTGTCCATGTGGAATTTAGCACAAATGTATTGTGGCAGAAGCCTGGCTGAGAAGGTAGAAACCAATGCTACACAGAGCCCTCCCTCTCTGTAATGTCTAACCTCTCCGTATTTCTCAGTTTAACCAAGGGGCATGGACTGCAGCTCAGTGGTAAGCGCTTACCTAGCACGTGCAAGGCGATAGGGTTGATTCCCAACATCAAAATTTTTAATAAAAAAATAAATATGTTAAAACCCATTCCTTCTCTCCTTTCTTTGTAATTAAGAAGCCCATCCCAATTTCTTTCTTATTAAGAAATAAAAGGGCCAGGTGTGGTGGCATACACATTTAAACCCAGAGCTGAGGAGGCAGAGCCAGACAGATCTCTTCAGTTTGAAGCCAGCCTGGTCCACAGAGTGAGCTCCAGGACAACAAAGACTATACAGAAAAACCATGTCTCTGAAAACAGGGCGGGGGGGGGGGGGGGGGGGGGTAGAACAAAAGGTTAGTAATTAAGCTCTTGAAAAGACCCTGGGTTTGGTTCCCAGCACCCCACATGGGCAGTTCACAGCCATCAGTAACTCCATTTCCAGGGAACCTAGCACCCCCTTGTGGCCGCTGTGAGCACATGCATATACACAGTGCGTTTTTTTTTTCCATGCATAAAGGCAAAACATACACATAAAATAAAAAATAAGTAAAAATATTTTAAGTGTGAGGGGGTTAAGACCTATCAGTGATGGCTATGTGGTCAGATTTGATAAATTAATAATATTCCTCAATTGCATTTCTTTTTTTCTACCTGCTTGGTTCCTTGAACTGTAGTTATTCTTTACAATTTTATAAACTTTTTTATTAAAAAAAGAAAAGCTGACACACAAACTAAACACAACCAAATTAATCTGACCCAAGCCTATCATCTCAGTGAACTTCTGCACAGTTAGAGCTTCACAGTGGGTTTATGCTTGTACAGTCGTGTGTGTGTGTGTGTATGTGTGTGTGTGTTTACTTACGTTGAGCAATAGGTTTCTAAGAAAAAAATAAATTTTAATCTAATCATCTGAAGTCAATTCATTGCACGTATGTGTAGCAGCAAATAAGGCTGTTTACCAAATGACTGTGATTCGTAGAGAGCCTCCAAACAATGTTCTTGAAGCATGATTTTTAAAGACTCAATTGTATATACTACATGTAAACAATAATTTAATACAATACAGAAAGTAGATTATTACAACTGCCAGGGTTGTTAGTTTTTGAATCTCCGTTATTTTTCCTTCTTGGTAGCACACGTTGCTAGTGATAGCTGTTAGCCATTGCTTTTTTGGCTTTGTTTTTTTTTCCCCTGTATAATTTAGAGTTCTTGACCAATATTCTCCCTCAGTGTAGAAGCCACCGAATGTAAAGCATGGAGACGTCCATCTGACCCTTGCACAGACAGGACTGTTATTGGAACCTAACTGAGAACTGAGATGATCTCTCCACCTCAGTGCCCTGGGATGCAGACACACTACTCCATCTTACAGTGCCCTGGGATGCAGACACACTACTCCATCTTACAGTGCCTTGGCATTGTAGAAAAGGGCAGAAACCAAGAGGGTACCCCTACTCTCTCCTTTTCTCTCTCCCCCAAAACAGGTTATAGAATCTAGCTGCCTTTTCCCTGAACTTGATCACAAATACTTTATTCCACCTGCCCCTCTTCACGCAGAAGGAAAGGGGCATCTTTATCCTCAAAGATGGAGACACCAAGCAGAAGCTCTAAATGTGCCTGACACCAGACACGCCCTGCTTGAGGTTCAAACAGTTAGTGTGCTCTTCTCTTGATAATCTACCTGTTGTCATTGCCTCCACCATGAATGTGAAAGATGATGTCTTCCCTTCCCTGGGGCATTCATCTTTGTAGTTACTATTATTTTTCTGTCCATTTTGAAAATAGACTTCTTGGGAATGATATCCTCTGCCATCATATATGGGTGAAGTATTCCTAATTTCTGCCATTACCTTCATTTTAATGGTATGTATTAGAGCACCTAACATAGAAATTTGTACAGCAATTAAATAGATGGTGGTCTCATTGGTTCTAAGAAACCTAATGGTTCAATGGGATTTCTGCATTGATACCTTAAAATTTAAAAGACACTGGAAGAAAAAAGTAGAAGAAATTAAAGATATATTTCTTCATAGCTGAAAGCTGGCTAAATCACTTCACAGGAAAAAGAGGGGTCCCAGGAAGTCCAACCCTGAACCACAACTATTCCAATGTATGCTTGCCTCTGCACAGTATGTAGACACGAGTTTGCCAGGGCTGTTTCATAGGATTAAAAGCTATATGACTTTTCAGTTACAATGAATCCACACTTCTGCTGTAGGACTCCAGTCAGTTGCATTCAAACTCAGAAGTGCATAAAAATCTCCTTCAATACTAGATTTAAATTCAGATGCCAGAGTTTCATCTGTTTCCCTTCACATCCCTTAATTCTATATGTAATAAGATATCTTTTATATTTTTGACATTTTTAATGTTCGTGTGTGTGTGTGTGTGTGTGTGTGTGTGTGTGTGTGTGTGTGTGCCTGTGTCCCTGCAGAGGCCAGAAGAGACCATTGGATACATGGGCTGGAATTACAGTTGTAAGTTCCCTGGCATAGGTATTCTAAAAGTGCTACGCGGATGGCTGTGAGTTAGCCCAATGACGGCATTATTGTAGGTCCACTTCCCAGGGGCCCACCCAATGCAGCCGAAAAGGAGTGCGTGGTGCTGGGAGTGGGTGCATCGTACATGGCCTAAGACAGGGCTCTCACCCTCCTTTCACCCACCTCGGGGTCCCTTGGCGTTGCCCATCGTCGACAGCCTAAAGCCTTCGACCATCGATGTGACTCGTCTCACATCAATGTTTTGGGGTTGTGAACTTGTCTAAGACCCCCCATATTTAGACATCCAAATTCAAAACTCACATAGTTGGGATTGATCATAAGACACCTTCTCTAACTAAACAGAGAAGGGGGAGATGCCAGAAGCCAGGACCCTCGCCCTTACCCTCACCCCCTACCTTTCCCCACCTGCACAATGAAGCTTGCCAACTGCAAGATCCTGCTTGGCAACTGCAGATAGACTCAAAGCAGTGTACCATATCTTCTGAAGAATAGCAGGTAGATCATAATTCAAGGCAGTATACCGTATAGACCATGACATGTTTCAAGGCAGAGGCCAAGAAGATTCTGTACTTTTCCACCACCTGGCCCTTCTTACCCCTCCCCTTGTAAAACATGCTATAAAAAAGCATCTCATGTTCAAAAAAAATAAAGAATAAATAAATAAATAAATAAAAAGTGCTAAGCATCTCTCCACCCCCAGATGTTACATATTTAACAGATCGATGTGATCCTAATGCAGGTAGTAAGGACCTAGCATTTCAGAAAGACAAATGGACTAAACAGTGCAGGATACATAGATTATAAACTGTGTGCTGTATGAGTACCACTGTAACAAAGTTACACCATCATACCACTTTTCATCTCTCCATAGTGATCTAGTCCATTTTTACCTCTTAGAGCCATGCCACCTCCTGGTAAACCAGGAGATACTTGTCTTTGGTATATGGTGAGCATTCTTAGTGATGCTAATTTCTTAGCCATGTCTGTTTCTAGTCCAGGTACAGCTGCTTCTAGCCAGTGCTCTCTCTGTTGGCTGTCTTAACACACACCGCTTCTCTTGACAGCTTTTGTTCTTTCAGCTAACTAATAACTAACCACTTAGCTTTTCCAAACAGCAGTAGAAAATGTAGCCTTTAGACTCTAACCAAGATGTAACAACTCGCTCAGAACAATCTTTCATTTGGAATCACCTGCCCTGGAGCTCCCTCTGCTATGACAGCCATCCTGGAGTGGTGGCTTTGTGGGTCTGTCACACTGCCTTTCTCATTATACCAACTTCCTGGAAGTTTTCCGTTTTCTTGAGGGTAAGGAGAGGGCATCAGTGGTCTTAAAATGGAAGAGCACACACATCCCATCAATAGGTGTGCAGGTGCATGCAGATCATTTTAAGGGACCCATTTTCCAGATCATCAATTTCTGTGTGTATATACCTTTAACAGAATGAGCTGCCTGGGAATGTGGCCCTTTACTAGTTCCTCCCACTTTAGCTTTCACCATCACCTTTGTCCTCTTTGGCAAAGGAACAACTCACTTGCTAAGTCACTTGTTAAGTGACTATAACAGTTTCTTTAAAATAACATTTTTTTTTATTTGTTTGTGTGGAATTCCTGGAAACAAAGCCAAGAAAGCTTTAGCGAAAAATAGCCAGCCAGTTGCTGCTTACAATTGGTTGTTCACCAGAACCTATTTCTGAAGCTATCACATGCCTTGGTCACAATATAGGAACACCAAGCTAGAACTGAGCTAGGCACTTGTTTCCTGCTGGCTAAATAAATAAGTTCAGTGGTGCAACAATATCAAGTCTGTTGCTGGGTAACCAATGGCAATCTGATTGGATTTGATGCCCACTACACAGGAGGGATTCTTGTCTGGTACAGTTAGCCACAAGAGCCCATCACTCAGACCATAGGCCCTAGTGAGGAGCTATTGCTATTGTTTTGTTAAATAGTCATAATATGCCCATCCATTGCCTTCCTATCCAATAGGCCTGTAGATAAATGCTGGTAGCTTTCGTCAGAAATGTTTTGGTCGTGATCAGCAGTTTCCGTAGGGACTCATAACTAGTCAAAGTACTGAGAA